TGATACAGGACAATAGAACTGTTAAAGAGTCTAAAAGAGTAAAACAACTTTTTTTCTCACTCTAAAAGTGGAAAGAAGATTGTTGGAGGGGGGAGTTTAATATTATATATTATTGTAATTGAAAGGTTAAACTAAAAAGTATTTTGTATTTCAAAGAAGTATTTTGTATTTCAAATACAAACTTAAAAGTATTTTGTATTTTGTATTTCAAATCGAAAGATTAAAAGTATTTTGTATTTTGTATTTCAAATCAAAAGATTGAAAGTATTTTATATTTTGTAATTCAAATACTAAGATTCCTAGTATTTTGTATTTTGTATTTTAAATACTTTAATAGTGTATTTTGCCCAGCCCTGTGTATGATCGACGTGGTGTTGTTTGCGCGCGCGTTTCCTTTTTATAATTGTCCGCTTATTGGCGCGCGCACGCTTTCCCGCAGAAGGATTTTCTTTTCACACTCGGCCGCATGCGAGCACAGCTCATTCGCGCGCGTTCACCTGTGGCCACGCACGGAATATATACATATATGATTTTCATTGGAACACGCGTTCATTGGAACCGTCACGTGTGTACGTGTCCCGGTTACCATTCACGATCGCGCACGCGAAACGTCGGAGGAGAAAAATTCCCGCCTGCGTGTACCAACGCGCGCGACGAGTTCGGAATAATTATTCTTTCCATTTGCTTTTGAGCCGCGTATAGGAAATATTGTTGAGAGAGAGAGAGAAAAAAAAACACTATTTTAATCGCGTGGAAGGGAACAAAGTACAAACTGCAAAGTGCATATTAAGGAAGGAGTCTGGTTTAGCACGCTGAAAAATTAGGTGACTTTTTGGATTTTTTTTTTAGGAGACTATTCAACCAATCCTTGTGAACTTTATAGGGCAATTTCTTATACTATTGAATTAACAAAAAAATATTTTTTTGCCAGAAAAAAAGTATTTATTATGCAAGTAATAATAACATTTATTCGGTGGTGACGGTGTTTGGCGGCGTGCAAGATAACTCAAAAACTATTCAGCCGATTGATTTAGGACTTTGCACACATCTGCACAAATACTTCCCTAACAACTTGAACCACAGTTAATAATAATATTATTTAATTAAATAATTTGTATTGCATAATAAACACGAAAAATTTTTTGTCAAAATCGCTACCTTCTTTTTCCAAATGCGCGATTTCCAACAATTTCGCATAATTTTCTTTAAAAATAGATTCAGTTAATGCGTAAACTCTTAATAAACAATAATCCTTTTAAATTTTTTATTTCAGAAAAATACAAGCGACGCTACGTTGCACGCCGCCCGTCGACGCGCCGAATAAAAAGTTATTATTACTTGCATAATAAATATTTTTTTTCTGGCAAAAAATAATGTTTTTGTTAGTTCAATAGTATAAGAAATTACCCTATAAAGTTCAAAAGGATTGGTTGTATAGTTTCCTAAAAAAAAATTCCAAAAGTTACCTAAATTTTCAGCGTGCTAAACCAGGCTCCTCCCTTAATCTACACGCGCGATGTATCGGAAAGCTGTAATACATATGTATGTCTATATACATAGATACAGAAAGATTATATAGGATGAAAGTTCGTTAAACAAGGCTTTCGTGATTCTCCGCTGTCGTATCCTCACACTTCGGTAGAAAGCACGCGTCAGGTATCACGAGATCTTGGAATTGAACAAAGATTTTAGAGTATACACGTTAAAAAAACAGTAAAAAAAAATCGTGAGAGGTTTTTATGAAATTGGTTTTATTTCTTTCAAGCCTGTCAGTATAAAAGCTTGAAGTTTAAGATGTAATTCGATCGTTTGTTACCTAAACGCTAAAAATATAAATCATTTCATTGCTTTCGCTCGCGCAAAAACGGTTATCAATTGACCACTTCAATACTCAATGTTAAACCAATCGCGTATTTGGGCAAAAATCCCAGTAAACGAGAATGAATTGAAATAGATTGGAAAAAAATTCATTTCAACGTTCGCGAATGCATACTTCTGAAAATCTGAATTCATTTCAATGCCCAATGCCTTTGTATTCATTTATAGGAATCGTATGAAGTATATTTTCTATGCCATTCAATCCAAAAAAAATTCAGCTTTAAAAAGTAAATCGTGAATACTTAATTCAAAATTTTAGATAGAAAATGCAGTTTTTTCAATCTAATTAAATTAAAAAAAGGATTTTCCGTAAAAATGGATCACGAATGTTATTCAATTAAAAATTGTGACTAGGAAATGCATTGTTTCAATCCATCTAAACCAAAAAATATTATATTAATATTACAATCGTATTATGAAAAAATAGAAATGCATTCAGGAGGCCAAAACTATTTCAATTCATAAATTAAAAAATTTTAATCCATTCCCGTTTACTGGGATGATCGATGTGCAATTGAAATCTGTCTTTAATTAGACGTCGATCGATCCATTCGAAATTAAAGAAACAAAAGAGTTAAATAAATCTATCGTCGTTTCCTTCGTATTGTGAATTAATAAGCAGATCCAACTCTTATACGAACCTTCTGCGAAGCGATGTACTTATACGGTGTTTAACGTGTCGGTACGAAGGCGAGCCTATAATAAACGGTGACAATAAAATGTTTAGAGTTACTCACATTGTATTTGCGTAAGTGAACGTGTGTGCCTCGTCTTTATCGTATTAATTAGCATCCCGATGACGAGCGCGTTATATGTTCTAAGTATCGCACAACAACGTACATACCGCGCACTCCTGAGTTCCTGAGACGGATGCTCTGCGTGTTACGCGACTATCGCGTGGCGGGCAACCCATTAATTTGGAATTACGACTATTATGTGCAGGCTTTTAGATTTGTACTTTTCATCACGTTTCTGCCCGCTAATTTAGCCTGAGAGAATTGCCAGAAGCGCAGTAGAAGTTTGACAATTTAATAGGTGTCTAACCGGAGTCCAGCGAAAGGAACTAAGGTAATAGATATTTAACGTAACCTTTGCGGCGGACATCTCTGCCAAGTGTTTCACGATGATCTAATTGTTCTAATTTAAACGTCGCTGTGCGCTAATAAAATAAAAACGCCGTCTACGATATTTGATGTATATACATATATATATATGTAGGCACAACCCTCAATACCGATACACGAACACATTTTCACAAATAACTCTAAACGCTGTAAGGAGGGGACTCTACACGACTAAAAGAAAACAGTGATCTTTAAGAATTTTTTTTCAACTAAAATGAAATTGAATAATTTCAAAAGTTTAACAATGGATTACTGTATATTTGAGCAGTGGAAAACAATTTTTTATTAATAAATAATAGAATGTCTTTATAACGTCGCGTCGCTGGAGTTGTGTACAATCTAAGAGACGTAATTTTCGTCTAAAATGAAAAAATCAAATTTTTTTCTTATTTTTTATAAAATTATCTTCTATATAAACTAACAATATTACAAAAAAATTAAATTAAACAATTTTTTTGCAAAAAGATCGGAAGAGCACACG